TTCGTCAAATTAATCGAACTTAAACAATCTCAAATCAAATAATTTGATTGTACGAATATAGATATAAAAATCGTATGAATTCAATTTCTGAATCGTATAATATTTATATTTTATATTTTAATATTTTCTCCGATTAATTTCAAATATTCGTTTTCAAATTCAAGAACGTATTATGAATCATGAAAAATTAGAAATTAACAAAGATTATAAAGACGCAATTACAGATGGTGATGTTACTAAAGTGTAAGTTTCTAAAGTGTCTTTTATAGTCCTATCTTTTGAAAGTTTTTAGTAGATCACCAATAGTGCTCTTGTTTAAAATCAATAGCTTGCTTTCACAATTTTTTTGCGAGTGCTAGAAAACTGAAGTGAGTAGACCTAGATCAGGTATAACGGTAATCTGAATTAATATCTGTCAAGAATATAAAGGCACATGATGAAAATATGGGATACAAACATATGTACCATCAGTCTCTGCTCTTTTGCGTTACATTGTGATTCATTGCGCTTAGGTTAATGAACCTTTCGTTATCATAAAATTTAAAAATCCGGTTTAATTTGCATAATACTTTTGATAAAAGTTAAAATGTGTACATTACGTTCGTAATATTTTATATTGAATATTTTAAAAAAAATCTTTTCTTTAGGAATATTATTTTTAAATTTTAAAGAATCAAAGAATATTAACATTATTGTGCAGCATGTATTGACTGTATTGTTGATTCGAAACAATGAGTTTGTCATTAGACAGAGACACTAGAGGAATATGTACGCGACATGTTAACACTATATGTGCACTATAACAATGTGCTACGAGATTACGAGTATTAACTTCACTAAATTATCAAACTTCACTAAATTACTGCAAATAACATTTAAATTTTTAGCTTAAATCAAAGCTCAATCAATATATCAATATTGACCCATATTAAAATATTATTATTTTAATTCAAAATATATGATTATTGTTTTCTATAAATTATCATATCTCTTGTGATTTATTGATTATTGATTTCCATCAGTTCTTTTTTAGGAAAAATTTCTATTAAAATAAATTAAACTAACATTTATATTTAATTTCGAATTTTAAATTTAATTGTTAATTTAATTCATATTTAAATTTAATAAAAAAAAAAATTAGTTAAAGAATAAGATAATGTTTTTAAGTATTTGAAAAATTTAACAAAATTTATTGATAATATTGTTTTATTTTTTATCTTTTTTTCAAGTAATTTTAAATATGAGGTAAATATAAGCAAAAAAAAAAAAAAAAAAAAAAAAATAATAAATTGTTAAAAAATAATAAATTATTAATAAACAGCGTGAAAGTTAATATTAAAAATAACTATTATATTAAACTACGCATTCTATAAAATATAAAAATTTTAGTTTTTGCTTTATATTCGAAAGATTTTTTCCTATTATATTAATAATTTTGCGCGTGTGAGTGTAAGAAAGAAAGAGAAAAAGAGAAAAAATTTTGATATTTCTATTAATATATTTTTTTATGACTTTTAATATCACTCAAATAATATCACTCAACTAGCTAGTTATAAATCACTATAATAGTCTTTTTGTTGCTCATTTTATTTCACGTTTCAACTTTACCCTTATTATTCATATATCTATATTCATACATTACGTATATATATATATATATATATATATATATATACACATACAAAAGGTATATACAATATATACATATATATAGATATATATATCTAACTAAGTAGACTTCCCATTAATGTCTATGGATGTCTCAACCTGCTAAATATAACTGCTGTTTGTCCTGGCTATTTTCTACTCAAGATAAATGGGAATTAAGAATACAGAAAATCCTTTTTTTTCATTGTAATAACAGGCAAGAAAATGCTGAATCTAATTTTTTTTCTTTTCTTCGTTTTTTAACATTATCGCGATACGTATTCTATGCGCATCTGTACGGAGATGAAATTGATAAAAGCCTAATCATATTCAAAATTTTGTAACATGTACGTGCATTAATATATACAAGAGATATATTAAAACAATGTATTGCTATTCCGAATAAGTATATGCACTTATATAAAAATAAAAGAAAAATGAAAAAAGAAAAAAAAAAGAACATTCTCAACTTGATAGGGTTATTTTAGAGACAAGAAAATATTTTATATTTTTTAATTTTAACAATAATCTCTAATATAATTACGAATGATTATTAATATAATGAGGATAATAGAAATTCATAAATTTTGTAAACATTCAATGTTATATATATATGTTATATATATATATAATATAATAATAACAAAAATATGTTATATATATATATATATACTAAATAATCATTATTCATTATATATTATATTTTGCAAAAAATAATATAATTTTATTTATTATATGTAAAAATATTTCAATATATATTATTATATTAATACATTGAATAAAAAAAATATTTATCTTTGAAAAATTTTGTTTTTTAGGTTAACTTCAGCGTTTGACCATTTCTATAGAAATTTATCAATTATATTAATCAATAGTATTAAAAATAATTTCATTTAATAAATTTTTGTTTATCAATAATTGTACATTAAAAAATTAAAAAATAAAATCATAAGTTAATGCAATTTATACGAATTTAATTATATGTACATATAATAAATTTGTTATAAAATAATATATATATATATATATATATATATAAGAATGTGACGAAAAGTGGTGATCGACTGATATTAGAAAATCGGAAACGAAATATTGGCGCGCTCTTTGTCTTATAATTTAACGACGAATAACATCGTTGAAAAAAAAGCAAATTAGTATTTTGCAAAAATAAAATAGTATCAGAATATATAAATATATTTTTTGTATTTATTTAATAATTTTTTTTAATAAAAACATTATAATATTTAAAAACTTGTTCTTTGAAGCATCAAAATTGTTAATAGTCTTTTTAATAAAAATATTTTATATTTTAATAATATTTATTGTAAATCTATTATTAAACTTTTATTATGATAAGTACGAATTATATTTCAAATTTATATTGATAAAATAAAAACTGAATAATTTTATATATTTAAAACATTCTAATAAAATTTTTTTTAATTTTAAATGTTAACCTATAAAAAATTTATGTATTCGTTTTTAACATATAAAATCCATTAACCCAACATATTAATAATCATATAAAATTTCAAAATATAATATTAAATAATATTTAATTAATACAATTAACGATTAGCTTATTAAAAAAAAAAAAAATGAAATACTTCCATCGATTATCTTAAAATAAATTTATATACTTATAACATGGTTCGAGGTTATTTATAGATACCTATAACTATATTTAGAATAGGGTATTTTTATTATACCTAAAGAAAGAAATATTTTCCCCGAATGGATATGCCATGAAATGAAATGTAAAATGTAGATCCTATCTTATATCGTAGATAAAATTTATACACTATATATTGAAAATTTGATTGAGACTTACCTTTAAGCGTGCCAATTTTCCTTCTCTCACCACATTATACATGACATTTTTAATATCCATTTCGCATAAAATCAATTATCGCATACAATGCCGTTGAATAACACTATTTAACCTTCGTATCGTAGTTCTTTCTGTTCACGGCTGGTATTTCTCCTTGTTCAAAAGCACGGCAAATACGTTGAATAGTCTTGTTCGTCACTCGCGATCTCTTTTATCGAAAATCACAGCAGTGACTCATCTCATGTTGCGAATAAGAGACGAATGAAATAATGTCCGAATGATCAACGATTACCGCTAATGTTTCTTACTTCTCGAGAGCAGTTTTACAGTTAGATACGCGCGCGCGCATATACACAAGCATCGGATCAATTCCTCTCTTCAAGCGTCTTGTTTCGGTCGTTTTGCGAATGCACCTCTCATTCGGTCATCAGATGGCGATACCTGTACTTTCACTTCAACAGTTCATCAACAACTAAGCTCAAGTTGCCAACTACATTGAATCATTCGTTTAGTACCAGATGCTAGCTGTTTACTATTTCTATCTCTGTTCTCTTTTTATTTCTGGCTAAATATATTTCACTTATTTCATATTTAAAATTATCAAAATTATATATTAAAACAAGCAATATATTACATTTAATTTTTTGATGATTAGAAAGAGTTAATAATTTATTATTATCATATATTATTTTATAATGAATGAAAAAGTTTTCTGTCTTTGTCATTATTATGTTCATTTATATAAAAAATGTTAGTTCGGAGATTTGTCGGTAGATGGCAGCACAATGCAGTTTTGAGAAATGTCGATAATAAAATGTGCTTTTTCTTATATATATATAATTTAAAAAAAGAAATTTTGTTGTATTTATTATAAATATTATTATATTTTCTTATCTTAAAATTTTTTAAATATAAATAATAAATATATTATTGTTTATACCTTTATCATAAAATTAAAAATTGTTTTAATTAAAAATTATTTTTTAACAATTAAATACAATAAAATTATATTTTTTACGTTTTTATAAAATTTTTATAAAATATTGAGAATTCTCAAATATTCAAAAATTTCCAATGTTATTTTAGATATTTATTATATTATATTTTCAAAATTATTTACATTATAAGATATAATTATCGCTTGTGATAATAAAAATATTTCGTATAGATATAAATCTAATAATAAATAGATATATTTATAGATAATTTTTAAAGAAAATCGCATTATAAAAAATATAACTTTTTATTTTCTATTATTTTCTATTATTTCCATCTAAAAATTTATTGTAATGTTATTAATATTTAAAATATTTAATAAAACTAATAAATTTCATTTTATTTATATATTAATAACAAATTATATATAAATTATTTTTATAAACAATTTTTAATGATCCATCAGTTATATTTTTCTATAATTTGACAACAGAATATGTTACTTTATATCCATTAGAGCATCATTTGCAATTGTTAGAATAAAAAAAAGAACGAGGAAAAAGTGAAATAGTAGAACTGAGGGAGTCATTAAGTCGGCACTTCACTTTCGATTTTAACGCCTCTAAGTGACGCACTCTTGCATCAAGTGCGTTTTAGTTCGTCCTACATTTTCGCCAATATCAGAAGCATTACTTTATTCCAGTCTCAACACTTTCGACAGACTTACGTCAGTAGCCTTTGAGCTTACCTCAATACCTTTCTTACAAAAGAATACTATTAACGAAACGCTGATATTTGTTCTTGCCAATTATCGATTAGTCCTAAAGATCGATTAACTCTAAAGTTATCGATTCTGTCAAACATGTCGCACATATTAGTCGTACATACATAAATATTATAGGTTAGTTTTCATATATCTTATATAAATAAAATTTATATATCAAAGATGTAAATTGATGATAGAAAGTATAAGTAAAATTAATCAAGAATATAATTTATATAATATTCTGTTAAGATCTCATAATATCTTTTTGAAATGTTTATGAATTTTAATTGTTCTATGGATAATGAACGATATAAAAGGTATGTCCAATATAAATATTAAAATATATATACGTACTTAAATATATGTATAATGATCACAAATATGAAACATATGAAAAACAAAATGTTTAAATTTTATACTTGATTTACAAGATATGTTCTACGTTTACATCTTTATTTTTATATATACATAATTACGGTAACGTTTGCTTTCCTGTAATCTTAGATAGCTCGAAATATTACATAAAGTAATTTCAAAATCTTTTCATGAAATGTAAAAGTCTATTTTACTATTTATTATAAAATGAAGAAAAGAATCATCATAAACATTAAAATTACTAGAATCTTTAAATTACCTTTTTTTTAGGTAATAGACAAAATATTATTAAAATAATCAAATATATCATTTTACAGAGATTAACGTTACAACCATAATTTATATCGCAAAAGCTATAATACCAAATGTTTCGCTATAATACCAATTATCGAAATGGAGAGAAGTTAAACGAGAAGGCGGCAGTGTTTCGTCTTGTTGCTTTCTTTTCTTTCCCAGCTTGCGCATTGCCTGTTCATACAACGAAAGGATAGGCGGTGTAAAAATGAGTATAGAAAAGGGCGCGTGGGTGGTAGATGGGTCAGAGACAGAATGAGATGGCTGATAGATGGAAAAAGAATCCTAAGTGTATGTGAGTGTGCGCGCGCGTTTGCCACAGCATGTATATGAAAGAACAGCTGGAAAAAAGGTGTATACAATACAAACAGTACTGTCACATCGAGCTCCGCCAGAGGAATGAAAAACAGTCACCAAGTCTTCGTAAGACTGGCGTTTTCGGTGACAAGACCAGTTGGAAGAATAAGAAATGAGTCTTATAACAGTAGCCGGTACGAAAGATTATTTGAAAATTATAAAACTCTGATCACATATATAGTGTGAGGTTATGTTAGCTTTAAAGTTTAAATATTATTTTTTACATATTTAATTTACATATTTAATTTAAAAATTCGGAAACTTAAAAATTTGATAATTTAATAATTTGAAATTTATTTTTGTAGCAGTTAATCGAATAATAAATACGATTGATATTATAAATCAAACATTTGTTATTCGATTAACAAATAAATATATATATTTAATGATATACATTTAACAATATACATCATAATGATGTACGTAAATATATTGTTCGTTCTTAAAGTTCATTATCTTGTAACTCAACAGAAAACTACTCTATGATTTCCTTTGAAGACAGATGTCGTTGCGTTCTTCATAACGGCTTGCCAAGATAAAAACGGAATTGAAAGAAACACGGTACAGAATAAAGAACTGCAAAGTTATTTGAAGAACATAACTCTGTTACTCTGAAAGAAAGCTTCTTGTATTATACATTCGAATTATGTATGTACGTTTCGCGTGCAATAGGTAAGTTATCTTGTCAGTCGTAACATACGCATAATTGGTACTTGCAAGGAATTCAAAGATATATGTATAAGCCACAATAAATCCGTCACAAAAGAAAATAACTAGTTGGTTTTTCCGCATGCTACAAAGACTTTAAGTTAGTCCGCTTATTGCGATTTAGATTGGATCAAAAAAGGAAAGTATTACTTTTAAAGTTTGGTTTTCATTCACATCATTATGATATAAGTAGAAACATCGTTAAAAAAACATAATTAAGTTATTGGGATAAAGCAATCGAAGAATGCTGTAACGTTTGTACGCCGATAATCCATATAAACAAGGCATGACAAAGGAATCCCTCTGCTATCTAATTACCATACGAATATTGAGCGAACATCGTCTGTACTGTGAAAATACGATATCGCGAACATTTCAAACACTCGAGATAAGACCGTTCTATCCCATTAACCAGTTCCTTTTTTTATCTTTGATGAGAGACGTAGCTCGGCAACGAATCGTTCCCCGTAGCAAGAATGATTATCCGAACTGTTCGCGTGTTTTACAGGATTTTCAGGGGTTCGTGTTCACCGGAGTGGTGCAAGTTAGATATATAGAACCTTTTACGATGCCGATAGTAGATGATTCCAGCGTGGTATAGCCTAAGAATGGCAGTACTCTTTAGGGAAGCAACTTAAAGGCGACTCGTGCCGACAGTGCTTCCAGCAAATACGGAGTTTTATATTTAAAACATTCTAGAGACACGCTCCATTGTTCTATCTTCGCATCAACGTAATATCGTCTTACGTTGCTCCTCTCTTTAATACATCGTTGCATGCGACTTCGTTGTATAACTCAACAAAAGATATACCTATCGATTTTCTTGACAACAACTTTCAACTGTAATACATAGACCGTATTTGCTCCAATTACCGGCGAAATTATGAAGGCCTTCGACATTCGTTGGTTCGTTATTAGTCACGCGATAAGAAACCAATAATTTTGCATGCGTACGCAAAAACGTTGCTCCGTTATTTCTTTGGTCGCATGATTTATGAGAAAATTAATTAGATGATATTCGCGGTGAACGACAATTCGAGCGTAGAGAAAAAAAAAAAGTAAGAGACGGCAAGCTTTCGCTTTAAGTGCTTTAAATAAACGATTAATCATCGGTGTAATTATAACGAAGATGAGAGGAGGGAAGTGGGATCGCGCGGCTTCCACGATTTCATTCACCATTATCGATACATATTATATACCTATATACATATATTATATGTATATAGTATCAAACTATCGATGAAACGAAATTGTACGAGGCGAGTTATTATTTTAAGAAACGCATTGCTTCCTCTCTGTCTACACGACGCGACGCCAGAGGAAGTTCCGCGAATATATCAGCTAAAGGTTTCCAATTGCATTTATGGCTTTTCTCTCTGTCTCGTTTCGTCCCTTCCTGCCTCTCTATCCCTCTCTCTTCCTCTTTCGCGCGCTTCTTGCGTATACCGACAAATAGCATTTCGTTTCTGTGCACAAGTCGTTTCTTTGCAACCTCATTGCACGTTGCGTCCGTGTGGGTGACCACCGGTGCTACGTAAATATGGTTATACGACGTTGTACGTTGATAATGAACGCGCGCGTGTTCGTGCAAAAGTGTAGTGGGCTGCGGCTTGTGGTAAGGGCTCGGAAGAGGGATCGAGAACCGAAGCACAATGCACCAAAGGTGGGAACAAGAGAGGGAGAGAGAGGAAAAGAGATGGAACTGGAGGGAAAGACAGTGTACATGTACGTTGCGTTTACGGTACGCATACACCACGCGTAACACGTTCATGGATGCTTGCAGTGCGATGGTACTGATAGTCGAATAGAAATAAGTAAATGAACATATACGTATATATACGTCGTGTCGTTTTTTGTATGTGATTTACTTAACGAGAAATGGACAGACTTGCATGCCAAAGTATACAAATTTATCACTTTTGAAGTGAACGATAAATGTTGCACATTTTTACATGTTTTGTCACGATGATTTATACAATGATAATTTAAAGATATATTTACGCTTGACTTCTTGATTTGAACAGTATTTAAGATTTTACATCGATTGTTTTATGATAGTTGATAAAATATTTAAAAATAAAAAGAAAAAATACAAAATACAAAATATCAATTTTGCAGATTAAATCTGATTTGATGTAGTACAAAGGATTGATGTATGATGAGTGGAGTAAAAAAATTTTTAAAGACAAATTAAGCAAATGTTTGAACAGATTTAAATTGGTCAGATTTTAATGTACAAGTTGTCAAAATAAAAAAATTGTTCAATGACTTTAATTGAATAAGTTCGAATCCCGAAATTGTGGCGAGCAAAATCATATTAAAGAAAATCGAAGTAACGATGAAGTTTTCTTTCCTTTAATCCGCTCTTTCAAAGCTCTTTGTCGGAGTTCCCTTCAAAAAATGTCAGTCTACCGTTGCAATGTGGATTGAATGAAATCCTGTGGAATGAAATCCTTCGGTACAACGGAGGGTGCGCCCTGTGCTTCACAAACTAGTTTTATGATATCCCACCGACACCTACCATGCTAATCCACCCACAAAGTTTTCTTCAGCTGTTTACTCGCCTCCTGGCTACACCTCTCCGTCACACCGCTATATAACTGCTATCGTGGATATAACATAATTTTCCTCCTCGAACTACGCGAATCGATACAATAAATGCAGCAGATTCCAAAGGGCGAAGTAACAGCAATTTCAGTCGGCGTTTAATCACGCGATATTTCATTTATCCGCTATATATTACCGAGGCTAAATGTTTTACGGTTATTGCATTCTTGAAATTGATGTGTCAATAAACAGAATAACGCTCGTACAAAGGTGTGCTAAATTCATTTCACGATATCGTCATTGACGTGTTATCAGTACGACTGTTTCCTTGATAAAAATGCGTCTCGAGCCTCTTATCCTTGTGGACCTTCGTTATTGTTAATAAAGAATTTCTACGATTGTACGTACATATTTTATCTATAAACCGTTTCGTATTTTGCACGATGAGAGAGAGAGAGAGAGAGAGAGGAATATGGGTATTGGAATTTCAGAAAGCCAAGTCGCAGGTAGACAGCCTGATTTAGAACATCCCCAGTTGGCGGGCGTTTAACCGAATCGAGGATTCATCTCCTCGCGCCCTCAAAGCGCAGCAGACACGATGTATGAGCAGTGTGTAATATGATGAGCACACACACACGCACTCACCTCGCTTGGAATATCACCTTCACCATTGCATCGCTTGCACCCACCTAAAGGTCTCTCCTTACATTGCCGGTTGACTCGTGTTGTCCGGCTCTAGCACTTTGACTCACTCTGTCTTTGTCCTATGCGCGCTGCCGACACTCCGTACATGCGACACACAAGCAACGTTCGGCACTTGGTTCCGGTACTCCTCCTTCTACGCCTCGTTTCAGTTAAGTGCAAGCAGGACACGCGCAGAGAGGCAGTCTCTGTTGTTCTACAGGAGTCGGAGAAACGCAGATGCAACGATCGCGATATATACGGTTAAAAGAGAGATGAGACGAAAACGAGAGAATGAAGAAGACGAATAGAGATGGAGCACAAGAGACATATGTATGACAAAAGATAGGTGCGAGCGAAACAACGATAGCGATGATGCGGTGCACCTGTAAGACAGAGGCGGAAAGTTTGAAGATAGAACGAATAAGTGAGACAAACGACGAGAAGAGGTAGAAGATCAAGAAACTGAAGTGCGACAGAGATCAAATGATATGTCTCATCTTCTGTGTACGTGCAAAGAGGATAGCAACTGAGAGGATACTACTATTGAGTGCGAGCGAGACACCTAAAAGCAGAGGTGTCGATAAAGATTTTTTTAAAGTGAGAAATTATATCTCGAATAATCGTGACAAAGGAAACAAATGTAACAAAAGAAAATGTTTTAATAAAATAAATTTTAAATGATTTAGAACGCTATTCGTTGTATATTTAAAGTATATATCTTTAAATATGCGTGAACACGTGGTTAGTAAGTAAAAATTAATAGAGAAATTATGTAAGATTAAATTAGTTTTCTTTTAATGTCGAATATAAGTTAAAATATTGTTTTCCTTTATGCGCGTAAGAAAGAACTCCGTGACAAAAGTTCGTTAAAAAGTTGCGGGGAGTGTAAGACATCGGTGGCGTAGTGTTAGTAAGTTAAATAGCTATTAAAATTTCCGATAAGAAGCCGTATCGGGTGAGATCTTTCGTGGACCGTTTTAACATAGAATGCGAATTGTTCGATCGATATTGACGTATCTTTGAACGAGGAGAAAACTTGTAATTTCATAATCATTATGAAATTAGCCATTATTGGTTTCTTCGATATAAGGAAACAACGAATCGCCCCTGTCGGTCGACGCCCTTGACTCGACGAACTGAGAAACGAGTCGAAAAAGGACAGAGATGAAAAGAAAAGAGATGCACATTCCGTTCTCTGTGTACATTTGTGTCCCCTTATTGGTGTGTCAGTGTCGTTGCTGTGGTGGATAGTGTTAGTAGCCGCTCATTGGTGTTCGCCGCGGCGGCAAGCGGCGTTCACACGTTTCCCGTCATCCACTTCGGTACCCGGCTCGCAGTCGAGCGTCGTTCGTTGTACGGTGCGGTTGTGACGTTCGCGTTTCGTCTCGACGCTTTATACGTTCGATATACGTATATATGTGTGACACTGTGCACGCGTTTTCTTTTTTCTTTAGACTATACATATATATATACATGAAGTGTTTGTGATAGTGCGAGAAAGAATCGGTGTGTGTCGGTTATATTTTTCGCATAGTGCCAAGGTGGATTAAAGACGTATCTCCTGAGGAAACAAAACGCGAAGAAAACGAACCACAGACCAAAGGTATTATTTACTGACAGCTTTTTCTATTGACCGTTCTCAGTTCGTTTGTTGCCAATGGGAGAAATTATTGTTTGCTGCGTCATTTAACATGTTCGCGATAGATTTTTATGTAAACACAAACGTCTTATCATCGATTTTGTTCTCGTGTATATATACCAAATTATTTGAAATCGTGATAATCGAGAAGTAGCTGAGTATTTGTTTAACGACGCACGGTATTCCATATAAAAAAGGGTGACATTTTATATATTATCTAACAAAACGTGTTAATCTTTCTATTTTCGAAAATTGTGATATTAATTTAGATTATTTAGATTTTTAATATATATCGTCACATGGTGGAAATATCTAATCATGTACGCGATTTGCCAATAACACCGTATCGTGTAACATTAACCTTGATAATTGCTTTCTGTTGTTTTGCTTCGTTGCCAGCTCAAATGGGCGGTAATTATAGAAATGTTAGCAGATTTTAATAATATTTCACGTTATGTCGGAAATTACGTGTTTGAGAACGACGTAGTTGCAGGTACATGTCGTTCTGTAATCCGCCTGACTTTAATTGGTCTGATGTTTTAAACGATAAGACGATCTTTCAAGCGGCAGAATGTTGCGGCACGCGTTTAACCGGCATTATTAGGCCAGTTTGAAAGAAGCCAATGACGAGTTTCGCTCTTTCTCAGTTTAATAAGCGGTGCCACTGGCAGCACCTTCGATGCGACACAGCTGCGAAGTAAATTACTGGAAAGAGACACGACGGTAGCGGGAATGGGAGTTAGCTACAAGCTGGGGGTAATCGCGAATCAACGTACATGGCTCATTAAATCATTCAGACAATCGACACGTTTTACCCGCTACTTTCTTCGTCGGTCGGCTTCTTAGAACCTTTACTATGTATTTTTTCCTCTCATACCATTGGCATTTTCTTGTAATTTCTATGATGGCCAATAAATATAGTAGGTATATGGTCAACTGCAAACATGAAAAAGGAAATAAACGAGGAAACGATGTCATTTATTTGTCATTATATTAACATTGTTAATATATCATATATATATATATATATATATATATATATATATGATAGTTTTCATAATTTTTATATTACACACAATTTTATAACATGTATAGCGCTTATGAACTAGTATCATTTATCGTTGTCTATATCGTTGTCCTCTTATTATAATTTTTTGCTCGATTGTTATTAGCGATTAAAATATAAACTATTTATCGATGACACGCGCCTGCATATACTTATATATCGATGCTCATAAATTATATACATTATTTAGTTCTCGTCGATAAATTATAATTTAGATAAACTATAATTTTGTAAGCTACTTTGTGGGAAATCTTTTAAATTGTAGAGCGCAGCACGTAGTCTACGTCGCGGTATTTGACCATGTCGCGATAACGATCGCAGAGAAAAGAAATCACGGTGATCGCGTGATTAAGGATCTTAACGGCGATTAAACAAGATTCGTGATAACTTCCTTCGTGACTTGCCTGTGCAACGCTACATCCGGTATACGTTCCCTTCTTTCGCTCGAACGTTATAGGTAGGTGTCTTTGAACAGCTGTCGTGCGATGCTTGTTTATTTTCCTTTTCACGAAATTTCATCTGAGCACACAATCCAACCGTTTCGTTCCGTTCGTACGTATAACTTCTTTGTTCGTCTAGTGATAAAAAACGTTGAAGATATTCAAAACATCGATCATTTCTATAGATTCTATAATTTATTTGTTAAAAAGAATTTTATCGAAAAATTTTAGATTATGTATTTCGATTTATATATTACTACATCGGTGATAGAAAAAAAAGTGATAAAAGTTAAACCGCTGAAAGTTTTCATCGTTTCGTCATGTTCGTATATTGCAAATTGATGGAAATGACTGTTCAAATTTGGCTTCGCGTTTTTCACGTATGCCCGCTCCATTATACATCGCTCGTGAAATATATTATCCGTGGAGAATGGTCTGTTAACGGAGTTACATGACTCCATTTTCATGTTACACGAAACATCATCCGGCGTTACAAAGAGCCCGTAATGACACGTATACATGTGTGAAATCACCCTGATGTCAACGTGGAAATGATAACAACAACGAAATTCTTCATTTCGATCAAAAATTTTGTTCTACTACATTTTATTCTGAACGTTTTACTCTGGTGTTTTAAATTATTCAGACACTTTCAATTCCAAATTTACATGTACATTTAGCTGACGTAAACAGTATTGTAGTTTGTTATTTAATTCGCATATGTGATTCCGTTTTATGTATCTGATTTATTACGTGAAAATTACTTGAGGGGAAGATCCAAATTACTCTAATGCAAGCCATTAATACTTGTCCATTGATACTCGAGTATATATATACTTATTTTCACATACTTGTTTGCATGTAATGTTAGCATGTTTTGGAAAGGGCTATGAAACTTTTCGTACTTTGCTAATGTATCGTTAACGAGAAGTCACGTGATACTTTTGACTTCTTTATGTATTATGAACTATACGTGAAATTTTCAATTCAAAAGGTTAATCGAAATATTAAAATTTTTATAAATAAAAATATTCTAAAAATTTGAAATTATTTAAAAAAATTGTAAAAATATTTCGATTAAATAAAAAAAAATTAAAATATCCCGAATTATTCGAATAAATTGAGTTTCTTAAAAAAAACTTAAACATGAAGAATCACTGTTCGATTTGATTCGACAAATCAAATTATCCATCTCGAATTACGAGTGCATGGACGGTTATAACAAGTGAGAATCATATAAAAGTAAATTACACGTGCAAACCGCAAGATATGCGTTGAATTTTCGATATCCACGATTTTCAAATAACACGGAACATTAGTAAAAATAACATTTACATTATTATCGATAAGTACAAACAATTTTTTTAAAAATTTTTAAATTATTTTAATTTTATTAATTGATTTAATTTGTCGATTATTCTTATCTTAATTTCACCAAACAATTTCTCTATCGACGAATTAAATTCATGCGTCACGAGTACATTATAACGAAT